TTCATTAGACCCGGCACCTTTTTGTTCTTACGCAGTATTTTATATATGTTATTTTCAGGATAATCCGAAGTATCAAATTTACTGGAATCAGCCTTAATGATCTCCTCATATGCATCCTCACATTGCAATTCGTAGATAAAACTGTCTGTGTCCATGTACATGAGCTTACACCTTTCTGCACCCATTTTTGGTAGCATATAGGTGTAATGAAAATCATACATGACTAGTTTCGATAGGTCTAGAATTGCCTGCCCTACATACAGAGGTTTGTTAAACGTTATTTCAGCCTTGTTCAATTCGATAACCACCAGATTTTCCTCTAAAATTGTGCGACTGTGGAACCGAAAACTCGAAATCAAGTTTGCTGCCCCATAGCGACCACCCCAAGATTTAACGATTTTACATACGCGGTGCTTACGTATATTTTCCATGGTCTTACCGAATACTGCATTATTCATTAATTTAAAAAGATTTTTTTCGAAATCATTCCGGGCTGCAGCTCTACATCGAGTATTCAACTCGATGTAGGGTTTCAGCCAGGCTGCTTGTTTAAATTGTAAAATTTTATGGATTTTCGTTAACTTTAACCCATTAGCTAGCATTTGTTTTAAATTTTTATAGTGAACCGTGTACTCTTTTTTATCCGTAAGTGTTGCCATTAATTTCGGCAATTTTACCCCGCCGTCGCTGGGTGGTACGCTACGTTCTGCCGCAAACGGAAAATCTTTGTGTTTATCGTGCAGTTCTTGTGGGTACGATAGATCGACTTGTAGCACGTACCCTACGTCAGAGTCGTCGGGTATTGACATCACATCAAACGATGTTACATCATCTACCCATTTGAACCCTCCGTAGGGTAAGGGTTGCTGCATAGCATTCCCATATAAGCTATTCACATCCAGGTACATAAGGTACTTGGACGGCTTTTCAGGATCATATTCGGGCATATATTTATTGTTGGCCTCCGAAAATCGGTTGCTACACACCGAAATTCCACCTCTTATAGCATTTTCGTAAAACATCACCATATCTAGATCCTTTAGTAGTTCTAACTTACACCCAGTGTATTTGAGCATACAGTCCCACGTATATCCGGGCATTGTATAGTACCACGCAGGATCCAGACCATAGGTGGAGAAACATTTTTTACGCAATTGCTCAAAAACGTCGGCAAGAAGCAGAATATCTGTTTTTAAATATATATCAGAATACTCTCCTAATGTTTTAATGTTAAACTGTTGCCAAACAGATTGCGCATTAGCATACTTCTCGTCACTTACACTTTCATCGTTTAATTTATTGTAAAATTTTTCAATTGGGGGCAAAGTCGTTTCATTTAATTTTTTCAACGAATCAATGTAATCGTAACAGAAAACTCCTTTCTGTGTTAATAATTTGAATTTATCTTCATCTAAATTTTGAAATTCCCTTTGTAAAATTTTCTTTTCTGATTCTGCTAAAATTGCAGCTAATTCATCAAGAGACGCCCCCATAAATCGAAAAGAGTCTATAAACCGCAATTTAATGTTATTTTCATCTGAGTGCAGCGTAAAGGAGATGTATTTATCTTTGTTGATGGGAAGTAGACTTAAGCGACCTTTTTTACATAAATTCGAAATCATAAAGTGACTATCGTACCCACTTAAATTATGGAATATAACCGGCACAACAAACAATTTTCTAAAGTTCAGATTGCATGCTTGGTGTGCGTAACCTCTGAACTCTCCACTGAAATGGTTGTGATCTCTAACGATTATGTCTTTTTTTGTTTTTGAAAATCTCTTACCGCAAATATGACATGATGTTGCCTTACATGTGTCTAATTTTTCAATCATAGGTACGCTTGTTTTTATTTTTGAGTTTACAAATTGCGCAGCACCAGCCATACGATTTGCAAACCAATCCATACAATCTGCACCTCGATAGCTCTCGAAATAAGAAAGGCTATCATCATAGCTGCATTTTACATAGAAACCAGCACTATACGGAACGTGTTTTTGATAGTTTATGGTTTTAGTTAAATTTACGACGCTACTTTCTTTATGATTTTCTAATTGACATTCAAAATCTGCATAAACAACAAAAGGAGTATTTTGTTGGTATGTAAAGTTTTTAAATTCAACGCAGCTCTCTTTAGGAAGGTTAATTTTATATTTATTAAATTTAGAACACAGTTTTTCATGTTCAACTAATTTATTTTGCTGATGGAAATAGTTCAGACATCTATCGCAAATAAATTTTTTCTCACGATGTTTATTTAACTGGCTACTAATAAGACGCGAAAGATTTTTAATCCAACAATAGTGATATTTAATTTCATCGATTGAATCATTATCTTCATTCGCTAGTGGTGGAGGGGCATCATAATCATTTAAACGCGGATAATATTTATTTTGAGCTAAAAGTAAATTAACATGCGTATCCCGTTTATTTTCCGTTAATCTTGCTGGTACTACTATGTAAAATGATTTTTTTTCTGTTTCGATCAATTCTAAAGCGTAAACATTGACTGAAATGTTATTCATCTTTTCAAATTTTGAAATTTTTGTTAGCAGCATAGGACTATCTAAATTTTCTGTTTGTAAAACGTCAGTAAAGTGTGGATATGAGGAGGTTAGTTCTGCATGTCTTTTTTTGCTAGGAGTCCGAAGAGCGCTTACAATGGCCCAGTAAAAGCAATTTTGATCTATATTTTTAATGTTTATACAAGCATTTTTCTTTATAATCGGTACTGGTAGTCTAATATAAGATGAACCGTTTCCCAATTGATATTTACTGATATTAACAACTAAGGAAATAATTTTATTTAACGCAAATCCCGAATCTTTTTCAGCAAATTCCGATAATTCGTTTAAAAGTTTATCTTTAACATATATCTTAAACCACTCGTCTATTTGAGTTGATGTATCAATAATATGATTTTTAGTATTAATATATTTAATTCCCAAAATTTCATTATCCCCCGATTTCCTAATAAACTCCCCGCAAAATGTTGTATTTACTTTGAGCGCACAATGGGTGTTCAAAATATTCCTAATTTTCCTTTTAAAAACAACTACACAATCTGCTAAAAATTGATTCAACTCCTTATGACGCAAATTAGCTATGGAACCGGTTTTTATTCTACTTTGAAAGCTCGATTCTACATTTTCCCATCTAACTCTCTGACCCAATGTTAAGTGAAGTCCTGCCCCAATATGTCTAGTTAAAATCAACTTTCTAAAATGTTTAAAATGCCCCAAATTTGTTTCTACTTTTCTACAGGTCCCTACAGATAATTTATTTTGCCTTCTACTACGAATTACCCGTTTACATAATCTAATTTGTTTTTCTATTCGTTTCAGCCACACTTCCGCGTCTCTGATTGTAAAATTATCAAATAAAATTTTCCGTAGACTAACAATTGATAGTAGAACACCGTCTGTTTGTTTGATGATCTTTTTAACCTTATTTGAAGACATTTGAAAAGACGACATTTTTTTTTTCAAGCAAACACATTACTCAAAAATATATAAAAATGCTCACCCTGTCCTCCTCCTGTTCTCTGCTTTGTTAATTTTCCACTATTTTGAATGATGCTAGCGGTCGGCTTTTCCCTACGTCCACTTCCCCTTGGAAGATGATCGAGTATTTTCCGTGAAAAAGTTCGTCGATGACCGGCTGGTACGTTTCCGTCACCCGCTGTGGTAGAAATAGCACTTCCGGTCCTAAATCTAGTAGCACGGCTTCCCCAAATTTCGACTTGACCACTTTAGCTGCTTGGATTGCAAATGGTGTCCCAACTGGTAGGTCCTTTAATTTTCTGATAGGTTTGCGGTCTACAATCGAAGACGCAGCATTAATTTTTGATAAATCCATCTATAAAAAAAATTGAGTCGTCTAACTATTTTGAAGCATAACACGAAAAAAAAAACAGTTGCATTTAGAGACATAAAAAAGAAAAATATTAAATAAAATAGCACTTACTTTTTTTAAAATTTTCGCTCTCTCGTCTCTCTCGAAGCACTAATTGTACTGCGGTCGTTGTTGCAGCTTGCAGCGTTGTGCGTTAAGTGTGAAACAATGATGACTATTGCATGCGCTCGCTCAATATAAGTACGTAGTAGAGATGACACACGCGTGCATGAGATAATTGTATCGTAAATATGCATATTATATGCATCATATTCTCAGTACCATTTTTATCGAGAAAACTGCATGCGCTCGCTCAATATAAGTACGTAGTTGAGATGACACACGCGTGCATGAGATAATTGTATCGTAAATATGCATATTATATGCATCATATTCTCAGTACCATTTTTATCGAGAAAACAACATTCATTGCGGTTGCAGTATTTTTTATATAATTTCTTAGTAATACATGAATGTATCGTTTGTCCGGCGGAAATTCCAATTACAAGTTGCACATGAGAGTAGAATTTTAGAAATATAGAAATTCGTGTATGATTATTGTATATTTGCTGCCTATTTTTTTTTCAGTCAAGATTTTGATTGGGGGGTAAACGAATTTATATTTGCTATCTGAGATTTTTGACATCATTCTCTATCAAGATGTTGATGTGGGTAGACGTATTATTTTTTATTTCAACTTTCACATACATTTTTTGCAACGATTTCTCCGAAAAAGACGCTATAGTATACCTAACTCAATATGAACATATCATCGATAATACAACAGATCTCTCTACTTTGCTAACTAACTTGCAATAAAAGTATAATTTACCAGTGGATGGATTGTTGAATAATGCAACAATTGAATTTATGAATCGTCCGCGTTGTCAATACAGTGATGCTGAATTTAGAGCAAGTTTTCCATTTCGGAAACATGACCTGAAATGGTATTTCCCTCGAAACACACCTGCGGCCCAAAAAGATGCAGAAATGGCTTTTCAGATGTGGCAAAATGTTTCAAACTTAACATTTACAATGGTTACCAATCCCACTCTATATCCTCCTGATATTACTATAACCATGGTTAGCAAGACTCATTATTTTAGCGCAAACTGTATGGGTAATGATGAATGTCCATTGACATTAGATGATGCTGGCGGCGTTTTAGGACATGCATACTTTCCTGACTCTAGCGGCACCTGTAGAGAAATCCATTTAGATATAAATGAACGCTGGTATTTTGGAAATAATCCTAATATACCCAAAAATCAAACTAGTTTTCTTATGGTGTTGGTTCATGAAATTGGACATGCCCTCGGCATAGCACATAGTGCTTCTCCGAATGCTATTATGTTTGCCTTCTATCAGCATGAGATTCGTGGTCTAGATGTTGATGATATAAATGCAGTACAATATCTATATGGAAGAAAAAACAAATATGATTCAATCCCAACGTCTACCACCGCATCAGCAATACCAAAAACAACAACAACTATAAGATCTACAACTCGTAAGCAGCCGATCCTCAAAAATTTGTGTGATATTATTCCAGATTTTATGTTTTTAGCTATTGCTCCAGAGTTTTCAAATTACCGATTATATATTGCACATGATATGTTTATATGGAAACTAGACTTAAACGAAATGATTATCCCATCTCAGCCTGAACTTCTTGTCGATTATGTTCCTACAGAATTACGTCAATACACTTTACAACATATTTTCCAATCAACAAACGGTGACTTGATTACCATTGTGTCTCCAAACAAATATTTCTCAGCATCATTCCCTACCATTAAATTTCTTGATAATTTTTCAATTGATATACCCGATAGGGCTCGAATCAATGCTATTTTTCAATCAAACGCAGGACGGTCCTATACCTTTTATAATAATATGTCATATATAGAATTTTCTAACGATTTTACTGATGTGTTGAACAGAGGACGGATAAGAGACATATTTCCTGAATTACCTGAAGATATTTCTCTCGCATTTCGATGGATTGATGGCCATATTTACTTTTTCCGTCACGCAACTTACTATAAATTTAATGAATTTACAAGAAAAGTTGTTGCGACCGGACCATTTCATTGGACTCTATTTGGAGTACCATGCCCCAGCGAGGATTTGTTACATCAACTAAAAACTCTGTTATCTAAACTTGTATCTGTATATCATTAAAAAATACATTTTTCAGAAAGCTATGTTTATTTCGTATTCAGCCTGTTGTCAAACAAAAAAAAAACAGTCGGTTCCTTCGACTCCCCACCCCCCCACCATCATTCTACTACATAAAGTCTGTGTATCAGCACTAGCAGTGCTACAGTATCAATCATTCAAATCAGTCGCAAGCAATTGTTTTGTTCAAAAAGAGGTAAAAAATGGTAAAACCAAAAATAACCAGCGAGGAGGCTCATTACGAGGCTTTTAGGGAAAAATTAAAAAACAACCAGAACTGAACCGTAAAATACATAATTTGATTCTTGTCTGTCATGAACCAAATCAGTTGTCGAAGAATGATTTGAGTCGATTAGTATCAACATCTAAAGTACTCCCTGATAATTACAAGAATCACTTAAAACAATCATTCAATCTACCTGCACGACCAGAACACAGCGATATTGATTCAGACGACACTGTAGGCAACTGAAAATTTCATACACACACACACACACACACACACACACCAATCAACCTTATTGTTATATATATACTATATGTTTCAATAAAATATCCATTATACTATTTTCATTTTGAACGGTATCATCCTGTATAATAATAACAGTACATCGTATACAGGTTATGAGACATTCTGACCGACCGACCGACCGACCAGAGGAGCCCACCACGCTATTTAGGTCACGCCTTGCTATATACGATTTAACGATATACCGTCGGTCCATCGATCCGCTATTTTTCGATGCACCCCTGTATACACGTTGCCCCCCGTAATCCACGCCAACACCAGACAGGTGCGACATCGGCGCCATCTATGCGCGAGATGCCCAACCCATCAATGGCAGCTGTCCAATGACACATAGATTCCGTTGTGTAACGCCATCTATGCGTGAGATGCCCAATGACGCATGACAGGTGTCCAATGACACACAGATTCCGTTTGGTTTGACAGCGCCATCTAGCGGCGGAATCCCCAACTCATGAATACAGATTCCGTCCAACAACCTGTCAATGGCGCACGACGCCAGCGCCTCTGGTGGCGGATTTTGGAAGTTTTGAGACCGAATCCCCATAAGACATCTACTAAGGACATTAGGAAGAAATAGCAACTACTGTGCAAAATGATTTTACATTACTTACAATAGTATGCGAGATTGTTGCTATATGTTATTAAAGGTTAAGTTAAAGGAAACATTTAGTAGCCTGGTGAAAGCTGGATCCGTTATACTTTAGTTAAAAATAGTAACAAAATACACACAGCTGTATGTCATCACAATGGATTAAAAATATCTTGGAATGGGAGTTAAAGTTTTAATATGTTACGTCATGAACAACCACCTGATGCCGCACAATGCGGTGTCGGACAGGATCATAAGTAGCAACAAACACATGACAATTGACAGAAGGCTGATAGTGTCAGTATCGATGGATCGAACGATAATGTGTAAGTGTTATGCCATGTTGCTAAATCAACTTAAAAAGGTATGATTTTTCAAGAGACGCCAACTGAAGACTTATCAACAAACCAGAAGCAGTTGAACAAACTACATTATTAATGAAATATAAAATTAAATTACCAATTATTTCGTTATGAGGAAAAAATTAATCAAAATTTGAATGGAATGGAAATTTGGAGGAAAATAATGGAATCGACAAAAACTAGATTAGATTTATGGTTGTGAAGAATAAACATTTGGAGGGATATGTAAGTAACTTTTCCTTCAAATTTCCATTCCATTCAAATTCGGTAAATAACTTATCATAACTTTTTTGTGCTACCCTGTATACAACAACTGAACGAAAAATCCTATTTTCTCGTATTTACACAGCAAAAAAGGTTTACTTGTTAGAAGTGTCTAAAGCAAATATTTTTCGAGATATTTGTTTTTAAAACATTTCTATAACATAATCAAGTTGCTTTCGATAACGTCTGAGTAGCGTTGCTATGGTTTTCAACAATATCAAAGGAGGATAGCAACAAAACTAATAAACGGAAATAATAACTACAAAAATGTCCAAAACGAGCACCACCTTGCCTAACACACTCTCGAGCTCGACGAACTAATCCTTGCTGCACTCTCCAAAGCATTTGGATGTTTTTTTCCATTTCCTGGCTATGGTAGAAAATTCTTTGTCGAAGATCATCTACAGTTTCCACTGGAGTATTGTAAATGCGCCTTAAATCACCCCAGAAGACGAAATACATACGATTTCAATCTGGTGATCTAGCCGGCCACAATACAGGTCTTGATAGGCCCATCCACTGCTCTGGATAAACTATACTTAGGTGCGCTCTAACTAACATACTAAAATGAGGTGGCGCGGTCGTGCATAAACCGCATATTAATGCGTGTTTATAATGGAAGATATTCCAGCAGAGTGGGTAATTGTTCTTCAAGAAATTGTAAATACCTTTGGCCATTTAATCTAGGTCGTAATTCAACGGGTCCTATTAAATATTGTCCAATTATTTCTGCCCAGAAATTAATTTGAAATTGTTCTTGGTGGCGGGTTTGAATTATTGCATGAGGATTTTCGTCTGCATAAATGTGAAGATTATGCGAGTTAATGGGCCCCTTCCAAATCCTGCTTCGTCCGGAAATAATATTAATGAAGTAAAACCATTGTCGTCGTTAAACTTCCTTAAGAGCCATGTACAACATTCTACCCTTGCAGGTTCATCATCCAAGCTCATGTACTTTTTGCTGGTGGTAAGAATGGAGCAGTTGCTGTTGAAAAATGGTATTTACTGTACATTTGGAAACTTGAAATTCTCAAGCTACTATACATTCCTAGCCCCAACTGTAGGATTTTCAAAGACAGCGTCTAAAACGTTTTCTTAAACTTCCGCTATACGTACAGTTCTGGGAGCTCCACTATGTCGGCCCATATTTTGAGCAAAACTACCTAAAATCCAACTGGTTTTTACTGCTCAAACTAAGACTATAATCATTTCTTAACAGTTTCTCGTAATAGCTGATCGATTCGTTGGAAACTCTTTGAATCAGGCAGGTATTAGGGAATCTGTCAACGTACAATCTTCGTGCTTTTAAAGAATTAATCAAATTTTACCAATCCCTACATTAAATGCATATCAGAATATTCATCAAACGTATAGTACACGATGTTTAACAGATTATTGTCAACTTAAAATTATTCAAGAGGTTTAAAGCAATATTATGACAAACATTAGAAACCATAGCAACGCTACTCAGATATTATCCAAAGCAACTTGATTATTATGTTATAAAAATGATTTATTATCATGGTACAAATAATGCATTGGAATCTTTAGAAATAAATATCTCGAAAACTTCTAACAAGTAAAGCATTTTTGTGGTGGAAATACGAGAAAATAAGATTTTTCGGTCCGTTGTTATATACAGGGTAGCACAAAAAAGTTTTGAGAAATCATTTACCGAAGTAGCACTGTAAGTGGCGCCCTATAGGAGTTTGGCCATAATAAATAACCTATTCTTGTTTCCCATACCAGAAGATTCCTCTGTACTGAGTTTTATGCCAACATCTGAAATACTTCTCAAGCAATAAGGAAAATTGTAACTTTGACACCCTGTATCTCACAAACTATCAACTTCTGGACTGAGGTATGTTCAGGTCAATTCACATATTTTGGTCCGCAGTATCTCCAGTTTCGAGATATCCCAACCTTTCGCAGACACCTTGTATATACATATATACAATATACTGTTACCTATATCTATACACAGGGTGACCCATCCATGCGTGGACGGAATATTACTCATAAACAAATACATTTTAGAAAAATCTATTTATGGCGTGTTATACATGGCATTTGGGGGCCCATTTCTAAAATATTGGCAATTATAGTTGTGATTTTTTAAATGGAATGCCTCAAATTTTATTGCATATTTGGATAAACCAATTTAAAAGAAGAAGATTGATATAACAGACTATGTGGTTTTGGTAATTAGCTACTGAGGTGTAAGGTGTTTTGTCCAGAAAAACCGTACAGTTCGGCAACCCCTCAATCCGCCATTTTGAAATTTGGAGTGCTGAATTTTGAATCAAAGATAACTTACACACCTCGGCTTTTATCTTGTTTGTTACTTTTTCGAATTTTAATTTTTGCTCATACAGGGTGATCAAAAACGCGAATTGTACTTTTTCTCAAAAATTTCAAATGCATCACCCTGTATATTTGTGCAACTGTGGATTCAACTTTTTATGGGCTTTTTTGGTATAAGGTTTGATTCAGATAAAATCACTATATTTTGAGTTATTAAGCTTTTAATAGAACAACACACCAAAATTAGGGAAAAACTCACATCATCCATGGAAACAAAAGACAAATAGTGAACTAGTTCCATATTGCCACTGAGTACAGATTTGACGTAAAAACTAATAACAATCAGAACAGTATTCAGCTTCAAGCGTAACAAACAAATATCACTACTCAAGACCTAATCTACAAAAACTGCTCGAAAATATCTCCACCATGTTGAATACACAGCCGTAGTCTTTGGATAAATGACCGTTGCACATCCCTCAGAATGTGTTCCCTTATATTCAGAAAAGCATCCTTAATCCTTTCCTTCATATTTTCCGGGGTGATGATGGATAGTGGATATCTATAAACCACTTGCTTAACCATAGGTAGAAGTCTATCGGTGTCATATCTGGTGATCAGGCAGCAGCGGTGGCCGCAGTAGTAGACTCTTCGGTCTCCTGATCAGTCGCCGTGCGCTGTGCGGGTTCGAGTCCCGTCCCAGGAGAAATTTTTCTCTTGGCTATGGATGTTGTGATTGTCCGTGGTGGTAGATGGTTTCTGACTGTCGAACGTGGAGGTACCACCCGGGGGATCTCGTAGGCGGAGCCTGAATGTGTGCATGTTGCATGCACACGTGTTCCCTCGTCAGAGTCCGTGTGGCGTTCCCCCTTTCCCCTGTATCCCCCTATAGCCCCACGGTACCCAATGGGTGTTTAGGCCTTAGGCCGTGGTAGTTGGAGTATAAAAAAAACTATTTCATTGGGCTTCGCCCAAAACGAACACCATATTCACCATTTCTTCTTTAGAAAAATTAATTTTCAAACACGTTTTTATTATAATGCTCACAAAGCTAATTTTGACAGTTTGTAACTAATCAACAATTTATTTGTTCCCAAGGATGATGCGATATTTTAGGGAATTAAGCCGTTCCATAAAAGACGTGCTAGAAACCAAAAAAATAGCCATAAAAACCCTTGTGTGTCTAGTATCAAAATTCAGCACTCCAAATTTAAAAATGGCGGATTGAGGAGTTACCGAAATGTACGGTTTTTCTGGACAAAACACCTTACATCTCAGTAGCTAACTACCAAAACCCAATAGTATGTTATATCAATTTTCTTATTTTGAATTGGCTTATCCAAATATGCAATAAAATTTGAGGTATTCTATTTGAAAAATCACAACTTTGATATGTAGTTCGAAATTGGGACAACCTGTATGATGGCCAGTAGTTTAGAAATGTGAACTCAAATGTCATGTATAACACCCCATAAATAGATTTTCCCAGAATGTGTTTGTTTATGAGTAATATTCCGTCCACACATGGATGGGCCACCCTGTATATATACAGGGTGACTTTGAAGTTGAGTCATTAATTTTCAGATAATGATTGTAGAAGGAAGATAAACCAAAATATGTGTGTAAAAATAAAAAAAAATATAAAAAAAAATTACTTTGTTTTATAAAGTATCCTCCCGACAAGTATTTCAGTGCGGACCAGTATTTGATCGTGAGGTCTTGCAGCACCGGCATGCCGTCACCTGATTCACGAGCCCGTTGTACTACATTAACAAAGGCACGAGAGGTTGGTTGCACTCGATTGGGAAACCGATCCGCATAAACATGTGCCATTTTTTATTTCGTTTGAGCCACGCAATAGACACCACTATTCACTGACACTGACTGTATACAAATGAATAAAATAATTGTAAAAACATCGTTCCAAATTCTTTCGCTTTTTTGTTTCCGATGCGATGAACCGATACGGCGGATTATATCCGTTGTCGCCAAACACGAGCACATAATATTATTATTAAGACAGGGCAGTACTCAAACTTCCAAGGGGCTATAACTTTGGTACTTTAATTTTACCAGAAAAATGGTAAAGGAAAAAAACATTTCTTTTGATCAGATAAATGACTCAACTTTGATGTCACCCTGTATATACAAGGTGACTTGTGATGTCACGTATTCCTGTTAAGGGGTGATGGATTAGGTCAAAAGCAACCGATTTTGTCCTATCATGTCTTATCCAAAGGTTAACCATTTTTGAGTTATTTGAATTTTAAGTTTTTTATTTTTTATTCCGATTTCAGACGGTTAAAATTGAAATAAAAAAAAACTGCATGCTTGATTTTGAGTTTTTTGTTATCGCCGCTTAGCAGACATTCTAATAGTTTATAATAAGTAATAAAATGTTGAAAAGCTACGAACGTTTTAAAATTACGCTTTTTAAATGTATCATTTTCTTTTTTTTTACTAACTTATTCGATAAAAAATGCAAATTTCTGTAAAAAATCTCCTAGTAATGAAACGTGCAAATTATGTAAATAATATCTCTAACAAGCTTTCATTTGAGGTATTAATCGTTCAATTATCTGAAGTATATACAGAGAAACAAGAATGACACCCACAGAGGCTGGATTTTTAAGGAATTTGTATTACCTGAACAAGTCGTTACTGTCCTCAAAGGACTCGCATGCCATGATTGTTTTATGGCATCGGCTCGACGAGGAAGCGAGCGAGAAGAGCTGACTTGGTGGAGGAGTGAGAGAGAGAGAGAGAGCTGTTATTATTCATCATTGTAGTTACGCCATCGCCGCACGCCGAATGAGGATTAGGTTTAGTTGGTATCAACTACTGCGTACGCGCACACGTTTTACGGACGATTATTATTTTCGAGTTTCCCAGTTCATTTCGAGTGGTTTCTTTGTCATTATGGTAGACGCAGAAGATCCGCCAGGACCTCGCCATAGCGAGCACGGACAAACTTTTACAAATGAAGAATACGCAGACATAATGTTCTGGCAACATAGTGATGCTGGTCGACCCTGAGTTTATCCTCCTGAAGATGAAGAGGAAATCATTCGTGTGTTTCAGGAAGACCCTACTACGTCTACGCGCATTGTGGCTGCTCAGTTGGGTATAACACAATACAAAGTATGGTTTACTGTGCATACTGCAAGATTATACCCTTATCACTACACGCCTGTGCATGTGATTGAAGAGGGCGATCCTGCAAGACGATTAGATTTCTGTTACATGCAGATACAGAAGATCCAGACTATTTTAAGAAAATTCTGTGGAACGATGAATCGAAGTTTGATAAGGACGGGATCACTAACTACCACAATGCACATTCCTGGGCTGACAAAGAAGCTTTAAACCCCCAAAAAATAAGACCGACGGGGTCTCAGAACCGGTTTTCAGTCAATGTGAGGATGGGCATCATTGATGGATATTTAATTGGACCTCATTTTCTGCCCGCCAATTTAAATGGAGAAGTGTAAGAAGAGTTCTTGAAAAATCACTTGTTTCCATTAATGGAAGACGTCCCATTGGCGATGAGACAAAATATGCGGTTCCAGCACGACGGCTGTCTCGCACACTACAGTAGATTAGTACGGGCGTATTTAGACTCTAAATTTCCAAATCAATGGATTGGCAGAGGCGGGCCCATTGCCTGGCCAGCAAGAAGCCCAGATCTCACACCGATGGATTACTATGTGTGGGGACATATGAAAAGCCTGGTGTACGATGTTTCGCCCGTACCAACGCACGATGAATTAATTACAAGGATAATTAGTTGAGCTGACCAAATAAAAAGCCGCTTAACACATTCGCTGCGGAAAGCGCACATGCGCGTCCGATATGTCCCCCGCCATGTGCGGAAGGCGCGCTTATGCGGCATTCGCCGGTGGAGACTAAACCAAGTTAGTATGTATGCCGCACAGCAGTAGGAGTGTTGTATTTCTTTACGCACATAATACGAGGTTTAAGAATACTAAAATTTCATTCCGTTTTTCAAATTTGAAATTTGTGTTGCTTGTGGGCGTGGCTATTATGGAAGATATAAACATGAGTCAACCTGGACCTTCTGGTATAAAACGGCGCAGAAAAATGACGGTAAAGGATCCCAATAATCTTACAGAGGAAGAGATGATGTACTATGTTTATAATTCTGACAGTGATGAAGATGACGAAGTCAATTCTACGGAAAATCAAGAGACTGATTGTAAGAAATATTAATATACTTTTTTGTGTTATCCTATATTATTGGAATTTTTAGCGGAGTCCTCGGAAGATGAAGGTTTGATCGAAACAGATAATACTGCTAATCATTCGTGGCGGGAAACTTGTGATACCATGAGCAACATACCTTTTGTAAAGGACAATAAGTTATTATTAGACCCACCAGAAAATGTAGAGCCATACGATCATTTTAGAATGCTCCTGGATGATGAGTTTCTAGACAAAATAGTTCTGGAAACAAATCGCTACGCAGAAGACACATTTTTAAATACAGAGACCTCTTCTCGATCGAGAATTACGGAATGGAAAGAGATTACTACAACTGAATTGCTTCGATTTATTGGAATAACATTTCATACTGGCACCATAAAAATTAAACGCATACAGGACTACTGGAAAAAGCACAGATTGTTTAATCTCACATGTTTTTCAAAGTACATGAGTAGGGATCGCTATTTGCTAATTATGCGATTTTTGCACTTTTCCAAAAATCTGGAACTTGGACAGCCCCAACCAGATGATCGTCTGTACAAAATTAGCCCGGTTTTGGAATTTTTAAATAATAAAATGGACCAAGTATATTATCCAGGAAAAAACTTGTCATTAGACGAGTCAATGGTACTGTGGAGAGGAAGACTTATTTTCCGACAGTAATCAAGAATAAGCGCCATAAATGTGGCATCAAACTGTACATGTTAATGGAACCCAATGGTCTTATTCTTCAAATGTTGGTGTATACTGGCCAGCTTGATACGATAGGAGGAAAAGGGCATTCCCAAAAGGTGGTTTTGGAATTATTGCGTGGAAAACTTCTTCATGGCCATTCGATATACATGGATAATTTCTATAATTCTTTCGAGCTGGCTAAAACTTTGCTGCAACAAAAAACTTTCTGCACAGGTAATTTACGTACCGATAGAAAAGGAGCACCACAAGATGTTGTTAAGGCTAAGTTAGGTAAAGGTTAGTCCTTTTTTTCTGGTGCTCTAATAGTTTTAGTAGTTCTAATATTTATATTTTTAGGTCAACATAAAGCTCAGTACTTGGATAGCATTATGATTGGTAAGTGGAAGGATAAAAGAGATGTCACCTACATATCCACAGAATTCAAAAATGAAATGGTATTGGTAAAAAATAGAAGAGGACAGGAAATGGAAAAGCCATTGCCTATCGTAAAATATAATGAGTGTATGGGTGGAGTGGATAGGCAAGGCCAATTGATGTCATATTATCCCGCTCAGCGTAAAACACTGCGCTGGTATAAAAAACTTGGGATACATGTTATCCATCTTCTGCTACAAAATTCGCATATCCTCTATAATAAATTCAGCGGTAAAAAACTATCATATTATGACTTTCGGTTGGCTGTTTTGGAGAAACTTACACCAGCAGAAGAAAGTGAGTCCGTCATGCACTCAAAAATTTCTGATCATTTGCCAAGTAAAATTATCCATAGTAACGAAAAGGGCAAAACTCTAAGAAAGTGTCGTGTATGTACAAAAAACAAAAAAAGGAAAGATACGGTCTATCGCTGCACATCATGTGCTGATCAGCCAGGTTTGTGTTTAGGAGAATGTTTTACAGAATATCATAAAAAGATATAATTTCAATTATGATCTCCATTCCCTTCTTATGTGTTTATTAGAATGTTTTGTTATTTTAGATATGTTATTATATGTTACTACATTTTTATAATTATTATAGATAGGCTTGTTCTGTGACTGACAATATAACTCTAAATATGTTTTTATCAGAGTGACTTGTCATTTTTGATATATTATGTTTTTATTATTTTTTTTTCAAATGATGTATTATTATTAGATTGGCTTGTTTGGTGAATTTTAGTTTACAAATAAAAGAATTATTGTATTTCACTATTTTTATTAAATAATAAATTACAATAAAATAGCAAAAAAAGTATGACGCGCATGTGCGCTTTCCGCACGCTGCCAGAATATTATTAGAATGTGCGGAGGACGCACATGCGTGCTTTGCAAAAAATTGATAAATAAACTTTACAGCGGTTATTGTAATGCTTTATTATACTCTTTGCGTGAAAATATTGTAACGCTTCCTTTCCGCAAAAAGTCCAGAAAGGATGGAATGCAATGAAGATTCCAACTTTTCTGCACAATCACAGAAAGGGGGTTACCATTAGCTTCCGGTAGCTCAGTCGGTGGCATGAAGACATCTACAGGCGTGTAGCTGTGTGTCGACCATGGCATGGCTAGAGGATAGAAGAACAAACAGAACACAAAAATTTAACAGATTTTATTTAATAAAAAAAAGCATTTTCATTACATTACAATTTTACAGTTTTAAAGAACAAAATAAGTTTTACATCTTTGGCGCTGCTATAAAACTATCAACTTATCTTTCGCTGGTCTATTTTGACTCGACTGAAGCCAGGATGGCCAGGTGCTTGAAGTGGAGGTACCAGTTGTGAGGGGTGACCTCACATATAGTGGCTTCATAACCAGTTGTAGGCGAAGTTGAACTTAAAGGCGATGGCGCTGCCAAGGCACATGCATTGGTGAAGTGATAGGCCAAGCAACGCAAAGTCAAAGACTAAGGCAAAGGGAAAAGGAAAGAGAAAAGAGAAAGAGAAAGGGAGAGAGAAAGAGAAAGGGGGTGGCCCCAATCATTTTGTCCTATACGGACACACATTCTACAAAATTCTAGCACATGGTGCTATATGACCTTGTGCTACAGAGAAGAAAATTTTTAGCTCTTGTTCGATCGGCGGCTCAAGTGAAAAAGAAGCGCGAGGAAGATCGCAGATCAGGAACTCCGCATCAACCGCTCCAAGCGGAAAATTTTCCAAGTAAAAAAGCTAGAGATGGGATTAATGAAATGATAATCGAGAAGTGATTTAATAAATACGATCGGACGGTGAAACCGTTACAATATATATATAAAGTAAAGTAATTCGATGATTCCGCATAGGGCTTATTTATATCTTCTATGGATCCGCAGCGAAAGTGTTAACAACTAGAGTTACCAAAAGTGAATTACGTAAGAGAATGCGGGCATGTATTCGAAACAGGGGATTACAATTTGAGCAGAATCTGTAAAATACTAAAGGAAATGTAATTAAATAAAACTGTAATTAAAATAAAAGCCTTTTATTTATACTACGTAATTATCATTCGTACAACTTTACTTATATTTTTTTAATTTCATGTCTTTGTACTTGAGTTAGTTGTATCTTTTATACCTCAAATGAAAGCTTGTTAGATAGAGATATTATTTACATAATTTGCACATTTCATTACTAGGAGATTTTTTACACAAAATTGCATTTTTTATCGAATAAGTTAGTAAAAAAATAAGAAAATCATACATTTCAAAAACGTAATTTTAAAAGTAAGTTTTCAACATTTTATTACTTATTATGAACTATTGGAATGACCGCTATGCGACGATAACAAAAAACTCAAAATCAAACATGTATTTTTTTGTATTTCAAATTTAACCGTCTGAAATCGGAATAAAAAATAAAATTCAAATAACTCAAAAACGGTTAACTTCTGGATAGGACATTCTAGGTCTAAATCGGTTACTTTTTACCTAATCTATCACCCCTTAACAGGAATACGTGACACACAATTAATCGTTAATTGGGAAATTGGCAAATCTCTTAGGCTTAAGTTGACTCTTTTGACGATAAAATCCAGCTTTCGGCATTCTCAATGGAGCCTTCATCAGGATTCTGAAAATACAATTGTGATGCTAGCAAAGAAAACAGGGCAGAATTGTCAGACAACTTACTCGTCGGTGAGGTTGCAGCCACAAGGTGTTTCAGAACGAACGTAGAGAAGATCGAACTTAAAATCAGTATAAAAACAAAAGGATGGCAACATTGGGCTTGTTGAAAGACGACAGATACCTTCGTTAAATATTAAAAATATTACACGTGAGACGACATTTTGTTGAAACAATCGGAATGCAGTCTCTAGCCTTCTGTTTCCGCTACACGTGGAGAGGGGGACGGCACGGAACGGTAAAGCGTCGACAGATGACAAGTGATTGACGCGACGGACCGTGGCACTGTAAACCTCCCTGTCCAGCTTTGGGTATGAAGTATACGAGGGACGCTCGATCAACCTCCACCCAAAATTACTAAAATGCTGAATTAACTTGTTTTGGAAAAAGATGTGTAGTTCATATGAGTGTAAGAATGTGTGATATTAATACAACCTTGAAAAGATGGGTAATGTGAGTTTATATTAAAAATGTGAGTGAGAAAATGTATTCCAATTTTGTGAAGATGTTGGTTCAATTTGGATATATAGCCGTTCTAGCTTTTCGCAATTCACCAGGTAGGAATAAATAACACTGAGCTGCTTAACATCAGCCTTTTTATTCATGCAATGATCTGTCATGAAAATGTGGGACATTTCTAAAAATAAACGTTGTGAGAGTCTTTTTTTTATCAAGAACCTCAACACTACCATAATTTATAGAGTGACCTGTGTTGTTAATATGCGATGCCAAAGCACATCTCTCTGGATGTAATCTGGCGTCACTTTTGTGTGAAGTTATCCTGCCTTTCAGCAACCTAGAAGTTTGGCCTATATAAACTAAATTACAGTTGCCGCAATTAATACGATAGACAGTATTGGTTGAATCAAGCAACTGAACCTTATCCTTCATTTTGGACAACAAACTGTTCACTTTTGACCATATATATATCTGAGCAGAAGTCATTGCCAAAGCCAACGACCAGTTGGGTACAAAATACAATTAATTGTTAATTGGAAAATTGGCAAATCTCTTAGGCTTAAGTTGACTCTTTTGGCGATAAAATCAAGCTTCCGGCATTCTCTATGGAGCCTTCATCAGGATTCTGAAAACACAATTGTGATGCTAGCAAAGAAAAACAGGACAGATTTAAATTGTCAGACAACTTACTCGTCGGTAAGGTTGCAGCCACAAGGTGTTTCAGAACGAACGTAGAGAAGATCGAACTTATGATCAGTATAAAAACAAAAGAACGGGAACATTGGGCTTGTTGAAAAACGACAGATACCTTCGTTAAATGTTATTGATATTTTTAACATTTAAAGAAGGTATCTGTCGTCTTTCAACAAGCCCAATGTTCCCGTCCTTTTGTTTTTATACTGATTATAAGTTCGATCTTCTCTACGTTCGTTCTGAAAAGCCTTGTGGCTGCAACCTCACCGACGAGTAAGTTGTCTGACAATTTAAATCTGTCCTGTTTTCTTTGCTAGCATTACAATTGTGTTTTCAGAATCCTGATGAAGGCTCCATAGAGAATGCCGAAAGCTTGATTTTATCTTCAAAAGAGTCAACTTAAGAATAAGAGGTTTGCCAATTTCTCAATTAACAATTAATTATATATATATCACAAAAAAATAGGAAAATAATGGGCAAAATCCGCAAAAAGGAGGAAAGTTGATTCGAGCAGAAAATAGGATAGGTAACCCGAACGATACGTATTTCTGCTGGTTGGCTTCATCAGGCCCGAAACGAATGCACATATGCAACTACAAAAGTAGATACACATGCTCATACATCCGGATACGGGTGTAACCTGAGGAAATAAAGATGGATGGGAAAAAATCACACACGAAGTCCACAACAAGAGCCAACCTACACATGTAGTATAAAATAGCTAGAAGACCTCGAATTTTCAAGGCGACATCTAACCACAACCACGCGGCCGGTTATAGCCACTTGCTGTGGTACTTCAAGCCCAAAGGATCTACAAAGAGAAAATAATCATGCGGAGAAATGTATATAACAAAAAAATAGGAAAATAATGGGCAAGATCCGCAAAAAGGAGGAAAGTGGATTCGAGCAGAAAATAGGATAGGTAACCCGGGCGATACGTATTTCTGCTGGTTGGCTTCATCAGGCCCGAAATGAATGCACATATGCAACTACAAAAGTAGGTTGGCTCTCCATCTTTATTTCCTCAGGTTACACCCGTATCCGGATGTATGAGCATGTGTATCTACTTTTGTAGTTGCATATGTGCATTCATTTCGGGCCTGATGAAGCCAACCAGCAGAAATACGTATCGCTCGGGTTACCTATCCTATTTTCTGCTCGAATCCACTTTCCTCCTTTTTGCGGATTTTGCCCATTATTTTCCTATTTTTTTATTATATACATTTCTCCGCATGATTATTTTCTCTTTGTAGATCCTTTAGGCTTGAAGTACCACAGCAAGTGGCTATAACCGGCCGCGTGGTTGTGGTTAGATGTCGCCTTGAAGATTCGAGGTCTTCTAGCTATTTTATACTACAATGTGTAGGTTGGCTCTTGTTGTGGACTTCGTGTGTGATTTTTTCCCATCCATCTTTATTTCCTCAGGTTACACCCGTATCCGGATGTATGAGCATGTGTATCTACTTTTGTAGTTGCATATG